AAAAAAAAAAAAAGAAAAGAAAAGAAACTTCACAGGTAAGAAAAGGGGCGGTGGGAGATTTCTTGCCTGTTCTCATCAGAATCTCTTCATCAGATCCCTACAGGGGGAGCTCAATGCCACACCCCCAAGTGCACCATGCTAAGTGTTATCGGGGCATCTAATCGGCACCTCCCATCACCAGTGGAGGGGACAGGGTGGCCACCAGGAGTATGGAGCCCACCTTTTTCTGCTTGTCTTCTTCCTCCAGCAGCTGCAGCCTTTTGCTTTCCATCTCCTTCTGCCGGATGCCCTCCTTTGTGAGGGGGTTGCAGTTGTTATGTCCAGGGAGCAAGCGGAAGTATCGTTTCTTTTCAGGGTCAAAGTAATACCCTGGCAGATCTTTAGTCAAAAGAAATGAAATCCACTTCAACTTAGAACACTGCACGGACCCACCTCTGAAGAAACCCAGGGGTCTGTCCACACCACCCCACAGATGTCTGTCTGTTCTGAGGGGCAGGAGGTGGGCTAACGTTGTGAGTCACCATCCTGTGCCCATGGGGGGAGCTGTCTGCCTCAGGATCCCCATTCCTGACACAGCCAGGATGTTTAGTTAGTGTTTCAATTTGCTCTGAAATTTCCTCCAAGCCAGGAAAGGGCTGGTGACCCACATGGAGTGTACCCACATGCAAGTGAAGACACACAGGGCTAAGCAGGGCAGCCCAAGCAGATGTAACCAGATGATGAGGCAGGACGAGGTTTCATCTTTCCCCACAGGCAGGGCCACAGGAGGTCTACTGTCCAACAGACAGCCTCACCTGGCACGGAAGAACTCCCAGCTGTGCCGGATGAGGTCGATGGGGCCTCGTCATCGCCGACATGGCCAGAATCCTGTGAGCTCTGCTGTGTCACTGAGTTACCCCTGTTGACACATAGTCATAGTAACTCACAGTGAAGGGCTGGAGTCCCAGTCATTCTCTTACCGTAGGATCCTGCAGGGGTCAGTTCAGGCAGTTCCATGGCCTTCACCCCAGCCCTCTGACCCTTCTGATTACTTGGGGAGCCCTGACCTCTCCCTTCTCCTTGAAAGCAGTTTACCTACTTCAAATATACAAAAGTTAGGACAAGGTTTTGGTTCCTCATCCTTAACAGGATGTGTGTCACAGTAAGTCCCTTTCCTTATCTCCTCACTTGAGCATTTTGTAAGGTCTTTTTGAAATTTCCAGATGGAAAGAGGAATAATCTTTGCCAATAAGAATATTATCAGCTAGGCTCATTTGTCAGTTCAACAGCAGTTACAAGGCAGGTGCATTTTATTCTTTACTGGATTTAGCAATACAAAGGGTTTAAATTTTACTTGGGCACACCACCTTACAGATGGAGAAACTGGCGTTCAGGGCACAGAGGTGATTTGCTCAGTTAATACTGGGATAGAGCCATGGTTTAAACAGTTGATTTGCAAAGCTACAAGCAGCTTCTGTGGCAATTACAGGCTGAAGGATATAATGATAGAGCAAAACACCTAATTTTAGAATCCTGACAAAATCTGCTTTAAAATCAAGAACTTCCTCCCCATCCCCCAAAGGAATACAAATTGAATAAGTATGCTGAAGGAATGAAAGAACTTTCTCTTTAAATAAATGTCTGTAAATACTAACCATGCAGTTTCAGAGAAAATTATTTATTCTCCCTTTTTATGGCCTGGAGCTTTCTGAGGCAGCTCATGTGTGATCAGCAGCAAGAGGAGGAAGGATTAAGTGTCACAACAAATGTCTACATTTCTAGTCCAAGGACTGCTGCTCCATTCTTTCCACACAGAGCCCAGAAGGTGGCTGCCCAGCGTGTTTCCACATGACTCTGCCAAAGCAGAGTTGAGACTCTCTTCTTGCACAGATCACATTTTGCTACACATTGTACTCTTGTGGGAAGGCCTGGGGCCCAAAAAATATCCATGGTTCTCCTTACAAAACATACAAACATTGGGCACTGTCCTGATCGTTCTACAATATGGGTCAAATCTGCGACTCTGCCTTAGAGTAATAGATTTTATTCTGCCCCACCATGTATGAAGGGCCTACTCAGAGCCAAGCAGCCCATCAGAGGCTTTCCATGCAGTATTGCAAACCTCGTATTAGCTCTCTTTTGTATAAGAGTGACTCAGAATGATTAAGTAACTTGACCAAATTCATACAGGAGAAGGCAGAATGTCAAATTCGGACCTCCTAATTCTGAAGCCCTGTTCTTTCCACAATATTTTGATGGTTTTTGTTACTGTTTAGGTTCACCTGTTCTAGAGAAGCATCTTGGTATTTGTCATCTTCTGACCCTGTAGCTAGAAATCTGTCCATTTTAGGAGGAGGTCTGAAGTGTGGAAGAGTTTTAAAATTGGCAAGTGGGCCTCTTCTGGTGCAAAGACTTCTGCACGAAGGAAATACAATCTAGTCTCAGCACAAGATAACCCGCCCATACCAGGAGAGGACACCTCCTCACAGTCCAGGGCCAAAAGGACTTCTGGCCATAAGAACAATAAGCTGAAAGTGGAAAATGTTTGCACTGGGGGCTTCAACTCAGTATAAACTAGGTTTTACTTTCTAAGCGGGGTAGTGGGTACATGATGTTCACTGTATTATTCTGTATACACTTTTGTGTTCATTAAATACAATATGATATATTTAGCCTTTCTAAGGACTTAGGCTGAATTAATGAAATTAGATCTCCAGGAAGCTATTTTCATTGGCTGGGAAAAAAGGGAGAGAGACAGAAAAAGTGCAAACTAGAAAAACAGCTTTCCAGTTCTATCTGATACTGTCTACTTCTAAGCCTCTGACTAATGCTCTGGCCAGAGGTCATGGTCACTCTGAAAAGAAAGAGCGTGGCCATATCTCCTGACTACTCCAAGTGCAGCAGGCGGGCTGACTTGCGGCAGCGGCGCCCCCCTCAGACCCTGTGCTGCGGTGACAGCCCTGGTGACTCGCGCGCACCTGAGGCCGCCACAGGGCTCGCGTGGTCCCGGGTAGCAGCACTTGCCTCTCGTCAGAACCCTGTTGCCTGAACCGAGGGTTCTGCTGGTTGCTCCTTCTCCCACGTCTTCTATTCTGCCAGCTGTTTTTATGCATTTCTTCTCCTAAAAGAGAAAAAAAGCAAGTTCACATGCAAATGTGTGTGCGCGCGCGCGCATGCGCATGCACGTGCTTTGCTGTCTGCTTGACAGCTCCTTCATGCTCGGAGCTAGGCAAGGGGGTGGCCCGACCTGGGTTCTCACCGGAGCCACCACACCACGCCTCGCCTGTAAGGGCTGCCTCCAGGTGGAGACAGCGATGAGACCCCAGGCTTCTGGAGCCACTTCTCCAGCTACAGTTCTTACCTCACAGTTGACACCTGGCCTGCCAATCTGCTGACCTTCGCTTCCTTGGGTCACTGTGTGAGGTGATGACAGATTCTCGCAAGTACTTTAAATGGCAGCTGAAGCTGGCATGAGAACTCTTAGGTTATTCTTCTTTCTTTTCTTTACCAGATAACACCAGAGCATATAATCTTTCAATCCACACACATCCCTATTCATAGAGAATAGTTGACAGTGAGCACTTTCTCCTACACAATTCCAGCACGGAGCAGGGAAAACTGTGAACACAGTTAAACAACAGCCCGTGTGTAGGATTTCTCAACGTGCTTTATAAAAGTTTTAGCTTCCCGAAGTAAGCAAGCTGTTAAAGGGACAGATGTGCACATGCATTTTTTTTTTTTAAATAAGGAATGAGAAAAGAACGCTTCTTACTGATATTGCCATATTTCAGGTGGCTTTTTCAAGTCTTATCTTGTATAGCCTGAATCTATCACTTAACTGCCAGTTTCAACATTGGGAATCACATTAAGAGTTTTTTTTTTTTTAAGATTTTCTTTATTTATTTGACAGAGAAAAACAGCGAGAGAGGGAACACAAGCAGGTAGAGTGGGAGAGGGAGAAGCAGGCTTCCCACCGAGCAGGGAGCCCGATGTGGGGGCTCGATCCCAGGACCCTGGGATCATGACCTGAGCCGAAGGCAGACGCTTAACGACTGAGCCACCCAGGCGCCCGACACATTAAGAGTTCTTAAAAAGACCAAAATGGTACACGGACCAGCTGCTGTGAGTTCCATGCCTTCCCAACGCCTGATTTTTCCCCCACTCACAGGAGACAGTGATGACATCTTACTGAATATGCTTTTATTTATTTTTTACTGAATATACTTTAAAACCACATTCAAATGCCATAACAAAATTAGAAAAACATTTCTAGGGCTGAATGAAACCCAAGAATAGATTAGAAAACTATTTGCCTTTATTTCCCAACTTCTCCTTCTGAGTGGGGAATGCCTGTTGGCATCAGAGCACCAGAAGTCTGGACTCCCGGTCCAGTACTTACCCCAACATTTTGCGAATTCTGTAACCAAGGCCTCAGTTTGCTTGCTTCAGACAGTCAGTCTGCCACCCCCACGGGGCCATTCCACAACCTGGATTACTTGCACCAGATGCTCTCCAGTCCTGTGCCAGAATTAATAAGCACCACTGAAGAAAAGCATGTAGCCGTGCTGAAGTGGAGCTATGAGAAATATCTTATTTTCATCCTCTGATGAATTAAATGACTTTAATTATTCCTAGTCTGAGTCACTCCTGACAGCTCAGGGTGTTATCCCTGTCCCAACATATCCCTTTCCGCTTTCTTCCAGTCCTCCTTCCTTGCTAGCATAGCTCCCTACCTCACAGAGAAGAGAGATGTTGCCAGGTATGAATACTCCCAACTTCTCTCCCTTCCCTTCCACAAATACCTGCCTTTAATATTTCCAATGGTCTTCCCGCTTGTCTTGGGAGAAACGGGTGTCCTTGTGCCTTTTCCTGGCAAACCCACCCCACCTGGCTATTGCTCTCATTCCTTCTCAGACCCTACAGATACCTTTCCCGTATGTTTAACCAATTTCCCCTGTCCTTACCTCACCTATGGACATGCTCAGGTTTTTCATTTGTATGTGCTTCATCTCTGACCCAAAAGGAAGAGGATATCCTGAGCATGTGGTCTATGTGCACACATCCCACTGCTTGTTTCCCAGTCACTCTTCAACCCACTGCAGTTAGGGCTCCTCCCTCGCCTTTCTGCTCAAATGCTCTTGTGAGGTATTTAACTAATGATCCCCCTACCTGCCAAAGTTAGTCGTCTCTCTTTATTTAGCCCTTATTCCTAAAACATGTGATGCCACGAAGCTTCACTCTTCCTTTGGCTTCTGGAATAGCTTTCTCTTGGGTCACCTGCCCTGTATCTGTTTTCTACTGTTCTGTCCTAGATCCTCTTCTTTTCATACATATACCATCTCACCTGCCAACACAGGTTCATCTCCAACCCCTAGCATCCCTCCTGGGCATCAACTTCTACCGTCACTCCTCCTTCCACAGCGACAGCAGACTCAGCAGGTTCGGAGCCCAGAATCTCTCCCTACTTCCCTGCCTGCTCTTGTACCTATCCATATTTCCCTTCTCTGTAAATACCACTGCCGCCCTCACCCCTGTCCAGTAGTATAATAACTTTATTCAATTTCCTAAGCAACCCACTTTCATGGCTCCTGGACACCACACACATGGGTCTCCCTAAGGATCAATCACCTTAATCTTTATTTACGAATAAAGTTGTATTTACTAACTAGTTAAGTTACAAGCTAAGAGGCACTATGCAGAGGAAGGGAAATAGGGCCAGTGTTAAGAAAACTGGTAAGAAAAAGAAGCCATATTGACCTAAAGATTATTATTAGCAACTCTATAAAAAGATAAAAATTTCTCTAGATTGCACATTCTGTACATAGGACTCCAGTTTGCTTTAATTATGAAATAATGCAGGACTACATTGAAGAACACATATAATGGTAAGTCAAAGGCTTCAGATCAGGAGGCAGGAGCATGGCATGCCTGTATCCTCAAAAGAGGGGTGCGGGGCGCCTGGGTTGCTCAGTTGGTTAAGCGACTGCCTTCGGCTCAGGTCATGATCCCAGGGTCCTGGGATCGAGTCCTGCATCGGGCTCCCTGCTCTGCGTGGAGCCTGCTTCTCCCTCTCCCACTCCCCCTGCTTGTGTTCCCTCTCTCGCTGCGTCTCTCTCTGTCAAATAAAGAAATAAAATCTTTAAAAAAAAAAAAAAAAGAGGGGCGCAAAATCAAGGACATAGTAAATAATGAAATAACTGGTGACTGCTGATTTTGGAACATTTCTAAACCACTAACTCACACAAGCACAGGGTCAGGTCCTGCAACACAAGGAGAGGCTGACGACATTAACTGATTTAATAAACATGATCAAGCCAAAGTCATTTAAAAAAGTCACGATAAATAGAAGTTGACTCAACACAGAAAGGGTTAGAGTGGGATGAAATGATACCTTTTCGTACTTTTAAGCCTATTTCAGGGGTGGGGAGAGTGTCTTCCCTGAATGCAGACATAGTTCACTCTCAGTATCCACTTTATGCATTATGCTTGCCCTTATCACTCTGTACTAAACTTTGTACTCCCATCTCATATTAGGTGTAATGTGAATTCTCTAAGCAAAGATCTTGCCTTGTTCCTTCTGTTCCTAACACCCATGACCTAGTTGGTTCTCAGTAAATGTTCACTGAACTAAACAAAAAACAAACCCAAACAACCCTGCAGCTACTTTAAAATCCCAGGTAGCCCCTTTCTGCTCTAGGCATTTTCATTTGCTATTCAACACAGATTTACGGAGGGCCCACTGGGCCCTGGGGAGCAGGCAGAGATAAATAAACTGTGGTTCCCATTCTCAAGACACTTGCTGATCACCAGGGACATAGTCGTGAATGAACCGATTCCTGCAGTGCCTCATAAGTGAAGACCCAGGTCTCTCCAGGTGTAGCAAAGGAGGAGAGTCATTCTTTGAGTGGAAGGGCTGGAGGAGAGACAGAGTTTGAACTGCATCTAGAAGAATGAGTGTCAGGCAAGGGGGTGAGGAAAGGGGCCTGCAAGCAGCTTGGTATGGCCAGAGGCTGGGGGATGAAGCTGGAAAGGGAGGCAGGGCCAGCCCATGAGGGCTCTGACAGGATTAGACACACATGTTGGAAAGGGCACTTTACAGGTAGCAGAGAGAATAAGCTGGAAGTTAAGGGCTGCTGCAGCAAGCTAGGGGAGATGAACCTTCCCACTATGGAAGTGACACTTGGGACAGAGGATCTTGAATTTAGAGAGACTCAGGAGGTGAATTTCATGGGAGAGGTGGAGACAGAGAAGTGAAGAACCAGTAAGTGACTGACTGGTAGGGTCCTGACCTGGGAGACCAAGATTAAGGACGAAGAGCAGTTTGGGGGAGAGAAGAGAATCAGTCTCATTTTGAACAAACCAATCTCAAGACGCCTGTAGAACACCAAGGCAGGCAACTGTACACAAGCTCTGGGAATCCAGAGAGGAAACAAGGCTAAGGATAGAGATTTGAAAGTCATCAACACATGGTGACAAAGACTCAGACAAATGTAGATCCAAAGCCAAATATATAGTGAGGCTTTGATTTCAAAATTAGAGATAATTTTATTGGATAGTAATAGGAAATCCAGCATGTATCAGTTTTTAGATCAGTGTGTCTTAATGAGGACAATTTTAACCACCAGGGGACATGTGACAATGATGGGAGACATTTTTGTTTGTCACAACTTGGGGGGGAGGAGGTGGGGCTGGTGGTGGCTGCTATTGCCATTTAGTGAGAAAAAGCCATTGATGCTAACCATCTTAAAATACACTGCGAGTTAATCCAGCAACAGTGCTGAGGTGGAGAAACTCTATTCTTGATAGAAGTGCTAACAGTTTGCTGGATCAAATGCTGAATCCTGGCTCCTTTGGAGCTGCTCTGCCAGGCAGGTACTAAGATGTGTTCTGAAAGGCTGGACCTGGCTTTGCCTTTCAGAGAATCTTTTAAGTACTTGAAGGAGTAAAGAGAAATAATTTCTGAGAGACCATTATTAGTCTGGAAAGACAATGTTAATCTCAAACAAATAAACATGATTTAGCTTTTTGGAAAATGACCAGGCAATACTTATCAAGTAATTTAAAAATGTGCAAGCCTTCTTTTGGGAATCGATCCTAAAAAAATAATCCAAAAGATTATAA